AAATCTGGGAAATGCAAAGTAATGAGTTATTTTTCATCGATAAGACTGGCAAAAATTTTAAGTTAATGATACCGAGTGTTCAGTGAGTTGAAGGCTGGGAAAAAATCCACTCTAGGCTGTTGGCAGCAGTAAAAATAAGAATAGTCTCTAAGGAAGGTGATGTGGCAGGTTTTTAAAAACTTTTTAATGTACATGGCCTTCAATCAGATAATTACATGTCTAGGTATCTGTCCTTTAAATATGCAGATATATATACACACACACACACATATAAATATATATATACATGCATTGGGCACTGGTACAAAAATGACTATCATACTGTTGCTTGCAAGAATAAAAAATAAACAATACGAATGTCCATTGATAGAGGAATGGGCACATAATATTCAGTCATTAGCCACATAACATTTCAAACAACAGACTGCATATACGATGCTGTTCTCATAAGATTATACCACTGTATTCTTCCTGTACCTTTTCTATGTTTAGATACACAGATACTTACCATTGTTTTCCAGTTGCCTACAGTATTCAGTACCGTAACATGCTATACATATTTGTAGCCTAGGAGCAGTAGGCTACTCCGTATAGCCTAGGTGTGTTGTAGGCCATACCATTGAGATTTGTGTAAGTACGCTCTGTTCACACAGTGACAAAATCACCCAACAATTCGTTTCTCAGAACACATCCCTGTTAAGCAATGCATGACTGACTATGTATATATCCATATAAAGTGTGATACAGCTGTTTTTTAAAATGACATATCAATATATTTGGATGTGTATATAAATGTCTAGAGCAATGATTCTCAACCGGGGACAATTTTGCCCCCCATCCCTCAAGGAACATTTAGCAATGTCTGGTGACATTTTTGGCTGTTACAACTGGGATGAGAGGGATACTTACTGGCATCTAGTGGGTAGAGGCCAGAGATGGCTGATAAACATCCTTTAGTACGATGCACAGGACAGACAGCCCCCACAGCAAAGAATTATCCCTGCCCAGTCTCTCAATAGAAAGAAACCCTGGCATGGAGAAATCTGGCGAGCTGCTCGTCAGTACGTGCCACAGGTAGGTCGCGGGTAAGACAGGTTGTGAGGAAGGAGAACTGGGACTCTTTTTTTTTTTTAAACTATATATACTTTT